CCCCCGTCCCGATGCCGCAGGCTGCCCCACGTTCCTGGACATCGTCATCCTGCTGGACGGCTCCAACAGCATCTACCCGTGGCACGAGGTGCAGCGCTTCCTGCGGGCGCTGCTGGCGCGCTTCTTTGTGGGGCCACAGCAGAGCCAGGTGGGACGAGGGGGGCGCAGGGACAGCCCAGGTGCCACCGTCCTTTGGGGGGCCATGGGGTGCCCCAGGTGGTGGTGCTGCAGTATGGGGTCCGTTTGGTGTCCGTTTGGGTCCCCAGATATTGGTACTGCAGTATGGAGTCCGTTTGGGGTTCGTTTAGGGTCCATTTGGGGTCCTTCTGGGGTCCGTTTGGTCCCCAGGTGGCAGTGCTGCAGTATGAGGTCCATTTGGGGTCCATTTGGGATCCTTGTGGGGTGCATTTGGTGTCTGTTTGGTCCCCAGGTGGCAGTGCTGCTGTATGGGATCTGTTTGGGGTCCTTTTGGGGTGCATTTGGGTTTCCTTTGGGGTCCGTTTGGTCCCCAGGTGGCGGTGCTGCAGTACAGGGTCTGTTTGGAGTCCGTTTGGGGTCCATTTGGGTCCATTTTGGGTCCATTTGGGGTCCTTTTGTGGTCCATTTGGGGTCCGTTCAGTCCGCAGGTGGTGGTGCTGCAGTTTGGGGTCAGTTTGGGGTCCATTTGGGGTCCTTTTGGAGTCTGTTTGGGGTCCGTTTGGTCCCCAGGTGGTGGTGCTGCAGTATGGGGTCCATTTGAGGTCCATTTGGGATCCTTGTGGGGTGCATTTGGTGTCTGTTTGGTCCCCAGGTGGCAGTGCTGCTGTATGGGGTCCATTTGGATCCATTTGGGTCCATTTGGGGTCCATTTGGGTCCATTTGGGGTCCATTTGGGGTCCATTAAGGATCCATCTGGTCCCCAGGTGGCAGTGCTGCAGTATGAGGTCCATTTGGGGTCCATTTGGGGTCCATTTTGGGTGCATTTGGGGTCCATTTGGGTCCTTTTGGGGTCCTTTTGGGGTCCATTTGGATCCATTTGGGTCCATTTGGGGTCCATTTGGGTCCTTTTGGGGTCCATTTGCGGTCCATTTGGGGTCCATTTTGGGTGCATTTGGGTCCTTTTGGGGTCCTTTTGGGGTCATTTGGGGTCCATTTGGGTCCATTTGGGGTCCATTTGGGTCCATTTGGGGTCCATTTGGGGTGCATTTGAGTGCATTTGGGGTCCATTTGGGTCCATTTGGGTGCATTTGGGGTCCATTTGGGGTCCATTTGGGGTCCTTTTGGGGTCCATTTGGGGTCCATTTGGATCCATTTGGGGTCCATCTGGATCCTTTTGGGGTCCTTTTGCGGTCCTTTTGGGGTCCAATTTGGGTCCTTTTGGGGTCCATTTGGGGTCCTTTTGAGGTCATTTGGGGTCCATTTTAGTGTATTTGGGGTCCTTTTGGGGTCCTTTTGGGGTCATTTGGGGTCCATTTGGGGTCCTTTTGGGGTGCATTTGGGTCCTTTTGGGGTCCTTTTGGGGTCCATTTTGCTGCATTTGGGGTCCTTTTGGGATCCATTTGGGTCCATTTGGGTCCTTTT